GGCGTCTGGAGGCGGCGGCGGCCCTGGGGGCTGGGCCGGGAGGAGGGGTGTCCGCGGGGGATGCTCCGGGGAAGCCCGCGCCGCGCTGACGGGCCTCGGCGGCCCGCTCCAGCGCCTGAGCCCTCCCTCGGGTCTGCTGGCAGTGGTGGAGAGGGGCGAGAGCGAAGGACCCGGTGCAGACGGGCCTCTTCTGGTCGGCCTGCATCAGACTTACAATGTTCTGCCCGCTGATTCCTTACACAATGCTTAAATTGGTTGGAAAACTTCTTTTAAATTGTTTTTCTATTTTTTTCAGAATAGCAACGAAACGCCGTTAGGCAGAGAATCCCTCCTTGCTTGGGAACGTGGGAGAAGAAGTGGAGCTCTGGGGTCCTGGGCTCCCCGAGCTCTGGGAATGATGGGTTAGCAGTTGGAGAGAGCAGGCAGTTCCTTAATAAACTGTCCTCTGGAGCATCCCCATGGCCTGATTTTCTGTGCATGTTGTGAAGTCCTCCTTCCTCACCACATGATGGGATAAATTTAGTTTTATTGTGTTCCTTGCTGCCTTGTATTCCATAGGAGCTGGCTTTTGCAGTTGGCTTGGATAATATTTTGAATGAATGTCAGGGTAGCACATATCACTAATATTTTTAATCTTGCAGAGGCAAAATACCACGCTTTGTAAATTTTAAAATAATTGTCCAATCTGTTAGAGTTTAGTGATAGGAAATTACTTGCTTCATTGTTAGAAAAGTTTCTGCTGAGGACTTCGTGAGACTTTCCTGAAAATTTTAGGCTAATGAGATATTTGGATACTGACTTTAAAGGGGAACAGTAAAAAAAAGGGGGGGGGGGAAGGACACTTCTGATAAACAGAAGAGCCAAGAAAGAGAGGATAAAATAAGAGAATCACCAACCTCTTAGTTTGTTTTGTACATGTATTAATACTAAAAAAAAAAGTTACTTACTAGTCTTTCATTCTCAGAATGCTTTAATTGGCACCCTGCCTGAAATGAACCAGAAAATAGCTCATTTGGAGTGAGGACTAGGGAGATACCACAGTGTCAACCTGGTGACTATAGACAAGAAAAATCTCTGGTACTGCAGTATCTTCTGGTGGTACAGTTAAACAATATCTGATTCTTGCAGGACGCTAAAAACAAGTGGCCGCCTGACCCTGTGTACTAGAGTCTGTGCATGGAAATTAGTGATTTTTTATTAAGAGAAGGGATTATGGAGATGGTGAACCACCACTCTTAAAAGCAGACCAAAAACTTTCAGTTCTGAACAAGTGCTTTGTGAAGTAGTTGTGGCTCCTATCAGTATTTAACATCCATATATGTGTGTGTGTGCATGTGTGTATTGGAAAAGAAGGGCCAGAAGTGAAATGAGTGCAAGAAGCTTGTAAGAAAAGCTGGGAGAATGTAGAATTAAAATTTTGAACTGAAAAAACTCTAGCTAACCTAGGTGCTTTTAAGAGTCAAAGACCATACGGGATAGTGAGGAACTGAGCTTTTAACACTCTCTTTTTTTTAAGTTGTTATATGCACTGAAAAATTTTTAGTTTCTAAACACTCAGACCTGAAGAGCTCCAGATGAGAGAAGCATCTCCCTGAGATGCTTAAAGGCACTTATGTTTCCTTTGTGAATATTTAAGGTGTTTGTTATTGAGGGGTGAAAAAACAGGTGTTAAGAAGCTCTGATCAGGATGTGCCCCACCAGTAACACAGAGATAGTAATGTTCACCCTCCTAGGAGAAACCTGTATTGTTTCAGCACAGTTGTGCCCTTGAGTTCTCCTTGCACTAAGGATGAGTTTTGTAGTAATATGTTATAATTACTGTAAAATAAAACTGCTTCACTTATCCAGTGTCTCACAGTGATTGTCTGACAGCCTCATTCTCCGAGACAGAGACTCGGAAAAAGCCATGCAGCCTATCCCACTTACTTGGCCTGTGAGTTGAATGCTTACTTCTGTGTGCCTGATCGCTGCGTGCATGGACACTAATGTGTGTGTAAATAGTTTCGCAGTTGGTAGGGTATGAGAGTTCAGAAAGCTGCTCCTGGAGTTTTAGAGGAAGAGAAAGAGGTTCAGTGTCTGGTTTTCGGTGTGATTTGCTTCAGGAACGTTTCTTCTCTTGCATGGTTTTACCGAATTTCATTTCTTGCCAGACTCCATTTCCTGAAAAAATGCTGTGGAATTTCCTTGCTGCACCAACCTCCCAGGCTATTCTGGCAGCAGCTTTTCATCATTATTTCTTCACTGACATCAGGTAGGTACTGAGACAAGAGCCAACCGTTGCTGTTTCTAGCATTGCCTCTCAATATATTTCATTGTTCTCCTGCCAGTGAGTAGTTTGACACATGATTTTAAGTGATGTTAAAAGCATTATGGTGTAGCACTGTGCATCCTTCTGTGCCTGTCACTTTGTGGGGAAGCAAACACCTAGCACACACTCTCTCTTCCAGTACAGTAACTAGACCACTTAGGATCTGCTAAAGCTCATTAAATGGTGAAGAACCTGCATATTACAGTCATTGTTTAAGGAAACTGCCTATCTTTTTATAAAGACAACTTTGGGAATGCTGGTGAAAGGCTGAGAGATTGACAAGATGAAGATAGGGCTATAGCACATGACAGTGTGGATATTTTGGAATAGACCCAAGCCATTCTTGGTAGCCTAATTTGGAGCATCTTCTTTGGCTTTTTCAGTTCACAAGCAATAAGGAATCCATAGTTTAGATGGTCTCAGAGCTGCTTTTAACTCCACAGTGTTTCTCTTGCTTTTTTTCATATGCACTATGGATTATTATTGTTTTCTGTTGTATCAGTAATTGCAGGGAAAACCCTCTGACTGGTGAATTCAGTAGACTTCCTCTAGGCTTACTCTGCTGTCAAAGAGAATATGGTAATTATTGCTGCTTGAAACTTGCTACATTGACTAAATGAGACTGAGTTTAAAACCTATAAAATAATTTTTTGGGGCATTTTGAAATTAATTCTATGCCAAATTAATTTCTTCAGTAGTCAGATCATTCCTGTTGCCTCAGTGCTCTGCAGTTAATGATGTCCCTTTTAGTATCCTAGATATTAAATATCTTGCCTGTATTTTATTGACAAAGCAGACACCTCTTTTTTTCTCTTCGTTTCTTCATTTCATTATAGCCAACTCAAGAACTAGAACAACGGTTACACCACTTTGCAAAGCTGTTACAGATTCCACCACCAGGAGGCCCTCATTAAAGTGCTCATAGCTGGGCAAAGAAAACACAAGGGCAGTGAAATGAGATGGAGAAACCTGTCCCCACAGGAGTAATCTGAAACTCACCCTATAAATAGAGATTTTTCGGAGTGCTATGCAGGCATCTACTAATTACTGCAGGAATTCTAATATCCAACCATCAGTTGTACTGTAACTTCTGATATTGGGGTGTCATGGGTGGTATCTCTGCATTAAATTACCAAGTAAAAGTTCATGCCTTTGTATTCTGGATAGTAAAACTCTTAATAACATAAGTAAAATAATCAAATTGGGTAAAGCATGGTTTTTATTTCTGGTCACTCATGTCTGCCCTCTTTCACCCAATGAATATGCCTTCACCTAATCACCTCTCCTTTCTCTTATTTACTTAATTCCAGGTTCTTAATTTTCCTTCACTTTTCACAGTAAGCTTTACTTGTCTCCTAAAAGTTCTAAGTATCTGCACTGTCTGATTGTTCTCTTTTGCAAACATGACCTTTTTTTAAAGAAAGGGGGAAGGAGAAATGTTTTCATCTCCTTTTTTGCCAAATTATGCAGTTTTTTCCTTAATTACTGGCTTTTCAAAGCTGCAGTCATTGCTTTGGCTGAAACATAGACTTTATTATTCAAAAGAACAGTGTGTCCATGATCTCTTAACTAAAAAGTGTATAGAGTTGTCATTTTTCTTTCCTTAAACCCTTGTTTTGTTTCTTCACTGCTGATTCAAGCCATATATATATCTGCTTCTATTATTATTTCCCAAGATCATGTTTCAGTTCTGATGAGTCCAAGACACAACTTTGCAATGCAATTTCAGAATGGATGACAAGTGAGGATAGTTTCACTCCTGTCAGGAAATGTGGTTTGTGCAAGCTGTAGGCTGCTCACTGAGTTATTGCTTGTCTTTCAAACTCAGTTTCTGCCCTCCTTTCCTGAATTCAGACTGTTCAGCCACCTGAGATTGAGCAGTAACAGGTCTGTGATGCCCTTAGATGTCTGGGGCTGCACATGTGCTACACTGACGGGTTCAGCTTGTGCCTACCCTCTGCAGCAGGCACAAAAACCTTTTGAACCCCATTTGTGATGGAGATCGGCGCTGGAATTCTTCCCCATGAATGTTCATGTTGATTAAGTCACTTTAGGGGAATAAACTTCCTGCAGTGCACATTAAAAATGTGCTAGGGAAATCAGTCTGGGTTATTCCTGCCTCGGGCAAAGCAAACCCATTTGTGGGATTGCTTTTGCTCAAGGAACCAGGTGCACTTGGTGGGTGATGCAGAAGGATGGAGAAGACTGATGTGTGCCTCAAGGGTGATTTTAGGTGAGAATAGCTAATAAATTAAATTGTATAATGTTAATCGCTATACAACCCTGCCACTGTATGTCATGATTACTATTAATTGCTACATGCTGTATCAATGATATTACAGTAAGAATCACTTAGATTAATGAAGAATAAACTCTGTTAAAATCAAGTGAAGCACAGCAGTGATGGAACCAGATCTCAATTCTGTTTACAAGCTTTCCCATGTTCTACACAAGGCTTGACATACTGATGTGATCCCTGACAAGAAATTATCACTACCAGTTGTTTAATCTTGGAACTAAAGTAGCACATTACTTCAGCAGTAAATGAATGAATGAATGGTGAGAACAGCCTGTCTGACCCATGAAAACAATTGAGCTTTCTTTCAGACTGACAAGATTTAAATCTTCAGAGTCTCAGATTTTCATCTGCTTTTATTTCCAAAATATATCAAATTACAGAGATGTGTGAGCTGGGAACCAGTTGCTAAGTATGACATGCCTTCCCTCCTGGTAACATTGAAAATATAAGGCTTCTTTGAATAGGAGGCTGGGAGTGCTGACCCTGATACAGAAGCCAGGGACATTATTCTAAGTTGGTAGTGATAAAGTCAGTCATTTATTTCTCTACAAATGCTTTGGAAATAAGTTGAATTATATTATTCTTAAATTGAAGTTAAGAACATTGTGGTGTATTCTTACACATTTTGATTTTTCCTGTATTGTATCCTTAAGAGGGGGAAAAGAAATAGCCGATCAGTCATAAGGTCTGCCCATTCCATTAAAATCTAGAGGCCTGGAAAACAAGCTGGCAGGAGAGCAAGTTATTCTCCTTAAAATTTGAAATCAAGTATATCAAGCACTTTCTTTTTTCTTTACGTATTTTACAGAGGACTTCTATCTGCGTACATACAACTTAGCTTGCACCTTGCTGATCTCTATGCATTTTTGTAATGAAAGTTTGTGCTGTCACATGTCTGCCAACAAGTGGAAGCAACAACTTCTGTTTCTCTTGACCAAGCTGAATCGAGTTTGGTGGGTTGGTTTTTTGGTTTTTTTTTAAATGTATACTATTAGAGCAATCCTGCCAGGCTCCAGATCACTTTTATCCTTTGGAATCCCTGTCTTTGCTTGTATTTAAATATCATCAAAGTGATACTGCTATGCCGCCAGCATATCAATTTCTCTCATCACAGCCAGGGTCTTGTCATTACAGAGTGTTAGAAAAAGCCTCCTTACCAGGGCTGCTTTGTCACTGTGGAGTGGCATGGGTCAAACATATTTCACTAAGTAATTATGAAGGGAGTGGCTGTTTGGGAGAGATTAGTTTAATTATAAAACTGGAGAAATACAGTAACCATATGATGTTAGTGCCATTTTTCACCCAGATCTGCACATTAAAACACAAGTGTGTTGAGCTTTATTAATTTTGTTAAAGCAATATATGGAGTCAATCTTGAGGGAAGAAGTCTTCCAAACTTGCTTCTGCTGGAGACAGCTGACTTGGCTGGGTATTTTATGAAATAGTTACTTTTTACTAGATAAGGACATTACCATGGTGTCATAGCTATTTTGCAAGCCTGTAATTGCCTTCTATGACCTTGAAATTTCTCCTGCCATTTCAGCAGGAGAGGATGTTTTTATTCCTTTTCCCATGACTGCAGTGTGGTGCTGCTAGCACTAGTGGCTGCTGTATTTTGCCCTAGAAACACCTATGTTTCACTTGTGGATGGGCTAGACTTTTAAAGAGAATATCTGAGAATTAAGACATTAATCCTAACAATGTGGTAAATTACTCGAAGCTTTTCTGCATTTCATTGGCCTTTGCTATGCTCTAGTATGTGTCCCCATATGAGAAGCAAGAGTGTGTATGTACTTATATATGTATATGTTTGTCAATCCTAGACAGCTGTAACCCATCAAAACTGCTTGTGTGTGTATCCTCTTGTGTGTGCCTCATTAGTGCAAATACTGCCTTAGATACTGGATTCACTGATGTACTATAGGCAAGAGGAATCCGGATGGCTAATATGTAATATTTCAGGCCTCCACACCCAAGATGCAAAGCTTGAAAAGTATAATAAGGAAAGTGATTGGAAGCAGTCTCAACATTTGCTTAAAACTAGAAGACTAAAAATAATCACCTCATCCTAGGAAGGTGATGCAGTGTTTGGAGAAGAATGAGAGATGATGTGATAGACTTTTTGTCTCTCCTGCTGACATAGCTGATCTTGTTGGAATCCACATACACCCTGCAATACAGAAAAGATCCTTAAGGGCAGTTGCTCGTGCAAAGGGAGTGTGGAAGTGGGATTGCTTTGTGCATCTTAGTGTTGTGTTTTTGTCAGTTTTTCTGCACAGATTCTGTCCCTAAGCTAGTAAGGTCCCTTCCTTGTCCCCTGTTAAAACCTTTTGTCTTCCTGAGCAGAATGGGTGAGAGCAGCTTACTCCTTTCTCTGGAAGCAGGTCCTCTAAGACAGTTGAAACAACTTCTGTTGTGTTGAACTATTGACAAGTACAGCTTCCAAACCTTAGTGCTTTGGATATATTTTTAGTCTTATAATGATGACAGTTCTAGTTCTGTAGCGTTGTGCACTTCTCAACAGGCTTCCTTTAGCAGTTCTCTTTAGGAACTTTAATATAGTGTTGGTGACAAACTATATACTGCATACTTATTCTCGCTGTGTCCGGAATTTCCTTCTCTGCCTTTTTTTTTTTTTTTTTTTTTTTTTTTCCTATCAAATATACTTTAATTCCTCCTAAAGCAACACCCAGAAAAGTCCTCCACCCAGATAGTTCAGACTCCTGAGCTGACTCACAGACACTTTTACTTTAGAGAGAGTTCCTTCAAGGCCACTCAGTCATCCCTTGCAAATGGCTAGGATGAAAGATAATTGTTACTCTCTCAGCTTTTTAGCTCCAGCTGCCTTTTGCTGCATCATCACTGCAATAGCTGAGGGTAGGGAACAGCAACTGGTCAGTCAAGAACATCTTATAGCTGCAGTTCAATACTGCATACAATTTTGAAATCAGATTTGCATGTTGTGATTTCGTACTTGTCTCATCTCATTGCTCTCAGAGGTCATGTGAAATTTGGTCTCAGAAACTCTGACCTGTTCCTCTGTCTTGCATTGCCTGGCCATTAAAGCAGGAAGTACTGCCTTAATAATCCAGTGGGAAAATAACCGTGGGGACAGACAAAACAGGAGGAAAGACTGCAGTAGAAAGTACTGGGGTATATTGAACCAAGTGGGAGTTGTGCACATGCACCGAGTTTCACACATATGGGTCATTTATAATCACCAATACAGCAAAAACATGAGGAAGAGAAATTAAAAGCTTTCTTCAGATCCCAACAGAGGAAATGTTGAAGAAATAGACACACTTCCTGTAAGGCTGGTAAAGAAACCATGATAATACAAGGAACGGGGAACAAGTGATAAAACAAGAATGATCAGATCAATGAATCTCTTAAATTTAAAGGTGCAAAACTGAAGAAAATTATTAGCTGGACCATTACTGAAAATTAAGGCTCTACGTGTAGCAAAATCAAGGAAACTCAGTATTTGAAAGCTAATTACAACTCCTGAGAGCTCTAAATATTATTGTATGCTAAAAATAGCTGTGTGATGATGCAGTCAATGCCTATCCAAGTTTTAGGGTTTGAAAAACAAACTGCTTGTGATCTCTTCTGGCCACTAGCCTGGCAAACATATGGAATACAAATGGAGCAAGATTTTTTTTTTCTGTGGTTTATATACAAACTCATTTGCAGAAGCAGCAGGCAAAGCCAAGAGAAGAAAACTGGCCAAAATGAGAGCATGTTCAGTTCTGCAGCATGGCTTGTTTAAAAGAAAAGCTGCTACCAATCAAGAGGCTGAGCTAGAAAGGCTTAACTTTTTCAGACTCGTAAGGTATGTGGAAACACTGTGAAAATTATTAGTTTTCAAGTAGAGTCAAAGTTTGGGGTTTTGGTTTGTTTTTTTTTTTTAATGAAGAAATGTCTCAGATATTGGTGCTGAACCTCTTGCAAGTGTTAATTAAAATATGTTTTTCTTGCAAAATGCTGTTCTTTGATGTGACCAGTGAATTCCGCTGTGACTTGGAAATTAAAAATTTTGTTAGCTGTACTTTAAATACATTCTTTCTAAAGCTTGCCAATGAAAATGCTGCCCTGAGTACAAAACAGAGCAGTGTACTCAATGTCATTATTCAACCTACTTGACAACAGAAGCACTCAGCTTCTGTGAGCTGGAATGTATTAGAGGGGGAGAAAAAAAACATTCCATGAATTATGCTTTTTTTAGCTGCAACACTGAAAACTCTGCTCTCCTACATTCCGTGGATAAAGCTGGTTTGGTTTGTGTCTTTTTCAGATTAATTTTTCAATGTTGGTGTGTGAATAAATTAGAGAAGCACTGACTATTTGGCTGTAACAGTTAAGATAATATTTGTAGTACTTTCAGCTTGTTTGTATTAGGAGTCAGAATTTTTTTAGTGTGAGGAATACACACGCAGTCCTGTGTTCTGCAGCATGGCAGATGCATCTGTGAGCAATTTTATTGTTTTAACTCCATTTCTGATGAGTTATTGCACTTCAGTTTTCTGCCTCAGCTTCCTGTAAAGCAATAATCCCTGTTGCTTCTCTCTCTTCTCTTGTCTCATGCATCTATGTGTACAGATACCACCACGCAAATTCGACCTGCTGTATTTGCATTCAGTCCCAGAGAAGTCCCTCTGTCTACAGGAATGGTGAATCCACCAAATGGCAAAATTGATTCAACACCTTGCTGAGGCAGTCTTTCCCTGTCTCTCTTCCCCATCCCCCAGGTATCTGATCCCATCTTTTCTACTGTTCAGCTGAGCATCACAGTGAATACAAATAGGAGAAATGCAAAGCCGTTTAGGTAAGGGAGAGCATAATGGCCTGCTGGCTCAAACCAAAGCCTGGGCTAACTCTGAGGGCTGCAACAGGAGACGTTAGTTATGGGGAGCGTGCCAGCCTGGCTGTGCTCTGTAGTCTGCTCAGGCCTTGCCCTAGTGCATGATTTATGTACTTCATTCCCTTGGGTGATGGCTTCCCATTTCGTCTATGAGCGGAGGAATATTTAGTCAATTCTTCTGGTTTACTTCAGTGAAGTAAAGATAATTCACCCGTGGACTTCAGCCAGGCCTGTGACTGAGCTTTAATTCACATCCAAGCTTGTCAGTAGCATTATCACTGACTTTGAAGACTGATAACAGTTTCATAGCAAATCAATTTTACTGTTGTTTTCTTCATCCTACTTTTATCTGACCTTGGAGGTCAATTCAAATGAACAATGATATATGTAACTGCAATTACTACTTCTGCTTAGCTACATAAGTGGGCAGTCTTATTTCATAATTAGTTTTGTTAATCTTGTTTATCATAAAGTTGCTTAAGCTAAAGTAGAACAAGGTGCACTTATTCAAGAACAAAAAACTGTGTATGTGGAATTAGTCAAAAGCAGTTATTTTGGAGTTTGCAAAAGCTATTTAGAAAGCTGTCCCAGTTTAAGAAAGACACATATCTCCCAAAGTGTACATTTCATGATTCAGAGTAATATATTTCCCAAATAGCATTTCATTTCTTGCAGTAGAAATTTCTGTGCAGAGATTGCTAAATTGCAGGTCACAGCACCAGCCTCTCAAGCAGGAAGAATTATTTTGTTAAAAATGAAAAATCTGCTTTAAAATAGATTAAAAAAAATCTATTAATGTAGGTTAGAAATGTGCTCAGTGATATTTTAAAGGACTGAATTTTAGCTGCAACCAGGATATGCACTTAATCCATGTCTGTCCATTTTGCTACTGGTCTGCTTGTTAGCTCAGGCAGTCCTTGAGTTTCTTCTAATTTATCAGCTACCAGGGAAATTAAGAAGTGGGTGTGTCAGCCGCTTGTTAGTGACATGCTGCTACACTCAAAGCTTGTTTATGGACACAGAGGAACCACACCTTGTGTATAATTAAAGCCAAGTATTATAATTGAAATCTTAAGAGTCTAATGATTATTGATCCAGAAGTAATTTACAGAGAGAGAATAATAATGCAGTTAGTGTACTTCTAGAAAATGGTAACACATGCTTCTTGCCTTCTACCCCTCGTATTTCGCTCACCCTTCCACTGCTCCTGTGGGTCATAAGGTTGGTGGTTTCATTCTAGGGGGTGGGGGTGATACAGAGAGTTGTCAGCACCTGGCTTGCTTTCCTGAGAGAATATGATCTTCATGTTGATGGTTTCTCCTTTCTTGCTCTAGCATTCACCTAGTGCCATTTCTATGTTTGCTAGAATGCATTTACACCTTTCTTCATTGGTCTGCAGTGCCACACTACTTCTGATTTTATGGTATGTGGTGCCTATTACATCTGATTTTACAGTATGTGGTGCCTGTTAGTTACTTTCCCGTTTGCTCTCTTTGTTACCTCTAAAATGGTTTCATCCAGCTCCAGGTCAGCATTTCTTTAACTGATCACTGGTGAGTTGTTTATAGCCATCAGGTCTCCAGTGCCAAGGCTGTGCCTTGCCTGTTATATTCGCATGCCTGTACACCTCTGCATATCTTCTGTCCCCACTTCTCAAGGCCTCTGCTATTGCACCAGGCCTGTATTTCTCTACACTGCATCCTTGTGCTAGCTGTGAATCTCCCAGTCTATGTAGAATTACTGTTACTGCTATTATGTAAAATGATGGCTGTACTACACAGATAAACAGAAATGAAACAAATTAGCCATTGATCTGGTCTATTATGGAAACTGCTGTAACACCAAGTAAAAGGTGCAGAAGGTTTGAGAGAAGTTCAAACAAAGCAAGCCTGACAAGCCTCAGTCCTGAGGCCTTGGGAATTTTATACAAAGCTATGGCAAGTTACTGAGAATTTCAATACTGTATTATAGAGCTCCATGATTATAATGTTTTAGCCCTAGACTACCAGATAATCCACCAGGTTTGAGCAAGTTTTTAGAACTGGATATGATGGCATTTTTTCTTTTTTGGGGTAGAAAACACAAGAATGCAAGAATCCAGTTATCTGACCTTTTAGACCTAGAAGTTAGCTCAAAGTATATTGTATATTTTTACAGACAAAATTGCATTACGCAGTGAATGGTGGAAATCAAGGCTAATGGCAAGGATAGTCAAGCACTGAAATTGTCTGGTTCTTTTTCAAAAACTTCTGACAAAAGAAAATCCATAGCCTCGGAAGGCAAACAAATATCTGCTCAGTTTAGCCGATTCTGCTTTGAGACAGATACTCTCTTGATGTACCTTTCAGTCCTATTGTTCTCTACTGCTAGTTTGCTTTTTTAAAGTAAAAAATTCCTTGTGCATTCTCAAGAGGGACCGCTTTTCTTACCTCCTTTGTCTTTTTGATAGATTCTACATGTCTCCAGAAAGCCTCTAACTGGGTTTAGGTTTTGCAAAGTGGCCTTGTTTATTCCAGACTTTTTTTTTTTTTTAATCATATCATCCTTTATAAAGAATTACTTATTTCACAATTACCTATTAAAACGAACGGTCACAAAGAAAATGAAGCTCATGGTGCTTGGACTGCTATCATTTACTGCATTTGTAGAGCTGACATACAGATTATTTATTTTTCATTTAGAAAAAAATACCCATGCCTGACATCTCTAGTCAGTGTTTTGATATTATGATAGTAAATTATCTTTGGCATCTTTTCTTTTCCAGTCACAGCCAATCTGTTGTGGTCCTGACTTGACCTGGCATCTCTCTAATATCAATGGGCACAATTCATAATTTCCTCCAGAGCTGCAATGCTGAACCATGATCTGGACAGGACATCTTGATACGCAGAAGGGAGATCTCTAATCCTGTGACACATCCTTAGTGATTAACTCAAGGTAAATTAGAGGTAGCAACATCTGTGTCTTTTTAATGCAGGATCACTCCCAGCAGTATAGTATTGAGTATTTTGTCAAGACTTTGCCTAAAGACCTCAAGACTGGGACAGAGTCATCACTCTGTCTAGCAGTACCATCTCTATTCCTACCAATAATTCCATTTTAACAATGGAGCTTTCTTGTTACTCCAGTCTGAATGATGAAGCTTGACTGGTGTGATGTTTTGCCAGTCCTATTCTCAGACCTCTTGTGTGGATACAGTTTTTGCAGTTCATCATTGTTCTGACCAAAGAGAAGAAAAACATAGGTAAGGTTGTTTCCTTTATGTAAAACTCAGAGTCTGCCCCAATGTATGCAGTCAGAGTTTCAGGCATATTCACAAGACTGGATGCAGCATTCAAAGAAGGGCACCAGAGACACTGCAGATAAATGAGGGTTTTGGACCAAAAGTAACAGAAAGATAAGCAAGAATTCCCTAAGTACAAAAAATTTGTGTGGATTCACCCTGCTGTCTTTTGATAAACTGAATTCAATTATGCTGTTCTTTGCTTTAGCTAACAGGGGTTTTCAGAAGAGCTTTCGGGCATGGAGAAAGAGGAGCAAACTGTGATGTGTGGAGTGAGTTATTACAAATTCCATGGGGCACATTAAAGCAGCGTGGCCCTTCCCTGAGACTGACTGAGGTGCAATTTGCCTGGTGCTTCCTCACAGAAAGGTTTTTGGCACATTTTGGTTTTGAAGCAGTGATCATTAATTCTGGTGTAACTTAAGGGAGTAGGTAAAGTGCAACATAAATGCAAGACTCTCATGATTTGTGGATTTGGGTCATTTTGGGGATGTAATAGCTAATATAACTTCCGAAGTGGTGCCGGACTTTTACTCCATATATTCATTTGCTGTAGGAGACATAAAGTTTTTACCTTGTTAATATTTAGATTGCATTCTTTCTCTCTCCCTCTTCCCCCCCCACGTATTTTCAACTTTACAGGGAAAAACAACCAAACAACCAATTGGTGCTAGAGAAGGGAGAGCTGAAGAATATGAAAAAATTGCTGCATCTTTGCCCATTATGCAATTCTGTGAAGATTTCAGGTGTGTCCTGGTTTTAGTCTGGGACCAACTGTAAGTGAAATGCATTCCTATGGAAAACAGAAAGAAAATTGTAGAACAATTCAGACATAAATTTACACTCATATCCCAGGCTGCATCTTTATGGGTTATATTCTGGAAGGCCAAATATCAGATTGTCCTGTCCTGGTTGATAACAGGCAAACTCACCACTTGAAAGTTCAGAGAAGGCATTAGCTTGTATATTTGACTCTAGTTCATTCGATCCACATAAATCTGAATTGAAACCAGCCAACCAAAAAACCCCCACATGATTTCTCTGCTGCAATCATGGATTAAAATGGTTTGTGAGGATGAAAAATTCAGCTGGATACTTAGTATTTTTATGGTAATGGTTTGACTGGGGTCTTGTCTTGTCCAAACTGGTATGAGGTCTCAAGTGAGAGGAAATGCAGATCACAGTGGTGTACCTCACCCACAGCCAGAGGTTTACTGGTCAGCAGCAGATCTGTTAAGAAGCAAGGAGCAGACTCTGGGATGCCTCAACTCACTTGGCGGATGGTGTATGTGGGGTTATTGTACAGCACCAGCTGAAAGCCAAATGAGCAGTTAATGATCACACAAGTTCTGAAGACATAGAATGTCATCTGCTGCCCTAAGTAACACTTTGGGGTGAGAAATGATCTTCAGATTCTGTACATTCATTGACCCCTCTGAGAACTGTTTTACAAAGTAGGATAATGGAGGAGTGGTTGTTAACAGAGGCATTAGCTGCTGCAGAGCTGTTCAGCAGCACCAGAAGGATCTCTCTACATGTGCATTTGGTTCTGGAATAAAAGCATACTTTGTGAAGGTGAGCTGAAACAGGTGATTGCTTTCCAAACACTGCCTCCAAGACTGCAGAAGTCTCACAGAAGTGTTCCCATCCTAAAAAGCTCCTTTTCCATCCTTTTAAAATGGCAGATTAAGTTATGTGTATGACTCAGCCGCATTTTCTTGTCCTGTGACTTCAGGCAAGTCACTTCTCTTCAAGTTTTCTGACATGTTTTGGTCATCCAATCCAAAAATGCCACGTGCCTTGTTTAGGAAGATGTGTGTGTGGCACCCTGACAAAATAAGGCTGAGTTGTGTTGAATTGAATGCCCTCCAAACCAACAGCACTCCATGTTTTTAATTCGGCCTGCCTTTGCCCACTGTAAAATAAGGGTAATACAATATTTCTTATAGATGGCAAATATAGTAGTTGATAAATTTTAGAAGATTAACGGAAGGCAGTAATTCAACTGCATGTCAGCACGGGGGGTGGGTAAGGAAAGGGACAGCCCCATTCCTGTCAGGAGCCTGCGCGCCTCCGTCATGGCGGGGCCTCGTTTTGGCGGGAAGGCAACTTCCCCTTCCCCCCCCCCCCCGGCTCCGGCGGGAAAATATCTGCGTCTCTTTCCTCAGGAGGAGGAGGGCGGGCGGACGGGAAGGCAGACAGAGCAGCCGCTTTGGGAGCTCGGATCCCGACGTGCCGGGGTACTGTAGCCATTCACGGCCCCGCGCTCCCAGAGGTGCCCGGGCATGAGCTGTGTTTTAATTATTCTTGTAATTTTGACGGGGAATTTTGGTGCTCTGTGGGGGAGGGAAATTCTGCGCTGCCTCCATTTGAGAACTGAAATTTACATCCCCTGAAGAGGCAGCCGTCAAGGAAAAGCCAAAAAAATCTGTGTGTTGATTAATCATTTATTTTCCTCTGAGTCAATAGATGTGAAATTCCACGGGCGCCCCTCAGGGCAGGCCCCTAACGTGTGGCCCACACTTGGCTCCAGGCAAGTCAGCTGTGATGACGGTCTACTCAAAACGCACTCGTCAAGCCCAACACTACGTGCTGGGGCCAAGTCCCTGTCACACCGACAGTCTATCTTTTGAAAGTAGCACAGCTTGCAGGTCGTGCCCACGTATCCTCATGAATAGCTCCCAGGGCAGTAACAAGAGGGTCAAGGCACCCGACATGGCACAAAAGTGTTTGTGTTTCCTCACAAAGATCCTCCTTTCTTCATGGATTTGCTGCATTGTCTAGACTTTCACCCTTTTATCTTGGTTCATTGTAGGCAGTGGTGCCTGAAATCCTCTGGGTCTTTGGTGTGCCAACACACCAGCAACAGGAGGACCCTCCACTAAACGGGAGGAATTTGTTCATCCCTAAAGCGTTCGGCAGGGTGTGGTATAATTTCTCCATTTTCCCTTGTAGCCTGAAGGAAGGCACAGGTCTGGGTCTGCCTCCTTTTTCTGCTGTGAGATGCCAGTGACGTAAATATGGGGAGTAGGAGAGTAGTCCCAAGCCTGTTCAGCTGTGCTTGGAGGAATGCAGGATTATTATGTGCATTTCAGGAGGATATTTTTAATGGAGAAGGGGGATTGTAATATGATTGTAATGCCTTTTGCATTACTAGTTTTTCTTTCGGTATTTGAAGCTAAGGGGTTGTTAACATCTCTTCAAGTATTTTTAAATTTATGTTTTACTGTAATATTTTTCTGACTGATACAAGGCATGACATGAAGGCATGATTTCTCATTTGATAATTGCCAGGATTGTGAAATAGAAACAAAATATCCTGACACTATCAGAAACAACTGATTTTATAGGAATTTTTTAAATTAAATACTAGCAGAAGTGAATCCATTGTATTTTCACTCCAAAACCCAAATAAAATAATTCTAAAGTTATAATATTTTCTTCCTCACTTCTCTCATCCTCTCTAGACACTATTCTTGCAAACGTATTAGGCAGACCTTGACTATCCATTTAGAAGCTGTAAAAAGCTATTTGCAGATATTTAATCTAAATTATCCCATCTTCTGCTAGATGTAGCTCATCTTGTAGTTTCATAATAAAGCCAACTTACTTTTCATGGATTTTATTAACAAGGATGGCAAACAAACATATATAGACATCTGGGTGAGGTAGTTTACAAAACTTTTAATCAGCCATAGATAGAACAGTGAAGGCAAGCTCACAATTAAGAGAAGCAACCTATACGTTTACAAAACCACAAAAATGATACAGCAGGTTATAAGATCATATTTCTAAGGAACTACTTTGCATTAATTTTTCTTGCATTCGTAACATTTAAGAAGGTCGTATTTTGCTTTTTTATTTAACCATGCTATCAGTAAGTGCCTGTTCCAGTTCTAGGCCTTGATTATAGGAAGTCCCCATAAGGAGGGCAGTGAAGCTGCAGTGGAGTACAGACATGGCAAGTTAACCATGAAAAACCATGAAAGAGACAGTCTGTATATGTTCTTGCATAATAAAAGCCTCAGATTTTTATTACCCTTCCTTTATTCTCTTTATCCAAGTATACTTCCTACAGACATTACTTGCATGTCTTCAGCATTTATTAGGTATTCTGAACTCCAGCAAGAACTTGAAAACAAATACAGCTTTATAGTCTACTCAAGATACATGACTATGGAGTTGTAGCCTTCTCAAATAGCACTGTTTTGTGGGCTGTCACATAAACATGGGGAAGCTGAGATGTTGCAGAGCCTTTGCATGACAACTGTGCTGACTTTTGTTATAAAAATACAGACTGCCTTTAACTTTCTTACCAGAATAAATTCCACTTATGAGAAATCCCCTCCTCCAAACTCCTCTCTGACCCATGATTTTCACAAGGGAATGACATCTATTTTCCTAATACCTGTTAAACCCTTTCTAGCAAACTGGTTCATATGAGAGTAATGCAGTACATTTTCTCCTTTTGGTCTGGTAGGTCCAATAACGAAGAGTTGGAAGAAGAACCCAAGTTTAAATACATATGTGATGGCATACTGAGAAGGTTTGGTAGTCCTTTTACAGACATTTAGTTATTTATTGCCACTCCAATACTATCTTTGCTTTCATTTCCCAGTAGTGATCAATACTTTATTGCCTGTTCTTTCATGATGAAGGCCATGGAGGATCAAGTAGTCCAGGAAGAGCAAGGATACCAGGATGATGAGGTAAATTTATGGTTGATTGAAAAATATGTGCAGCAAATGTTGTTTGAAGGTATTATGATAGTGTTATGAAATCCATGGAGACAGGAGGTCCCCAAAGACCATTAGGGAGTTCAATGTATTTAGAATTTTGTTCCAGTCTAATACCAAGAAATCTTATTCTCCTAGTGCCCATACAGCTTTGCTCTTCAAGTACTCTTCATTAACCTTTCCAAAGCTATGCAGTTTTTAACAGGATGATCATTATTTCTTTATATTTTACACTTCTATATTAAATATATGGGGACTATCAATTAATTTTATACTTCCAAGGAATGGTCATCAGCCTGAAAAGACTGAGGAACTATGTGTTGGGTTTGTATGTGGCAGGGTTTTGGTAGCAGAGGAGGGGGCTACAGCGGTGTCCCCTGTGAGAAGCTTCTCAAAGCTCTCCAGACTCCATGTTGGACCCACCTCTGTGCCAAGGCTGAGCCAATTAGTGATGGTGACCACACCTCTGTGATAACATATTTAAGAAGGGGAACCTGGGAGAGGGAGTTGGAATTGTGAGGGAGACACCTTTGCAAACACTGAGATCAGTGAAAGAAAGGAGGGGGAGGTGTGCTAGAGCAGAGACCCCCGTGTAGCCCATGGTGAGAGGACGGGCTGTTCCCCTGCAGCCCATAGAGGTCCATGGTGGAACAGATGCCCACCTGCAGCCTGTGGGGGACCCCACACCAGAGCAGGTGGCTGCACCAGAAGAAGGCTGAAGAAAGTCCATGGCGGAGCAGTCTTTTGCTGGGAGGACTGCAACACACAGGAGGGACACTGGTGCAATTCATGAAGGGTTGCAGCCTGTAGGAAGGACCTATGTCAGAGAAAGTTCATGGAGGACTGTCTCCTGTGAGAGGGACCCCACACTGGAGTAGGGGAGGAGTGTGAGGAGCCCTTCCCCTGAGGAGGAAGGAGCAGCAGAAATAACATGTGAGGGACTGACCTCAACCCCCATTCCCTGCACCACTATGGAGAAGGAAGGAGAAAAATTGGGAGCAAAGCTGAGCCTGGGAAGAAGGAAGGGGTGGGGAGAAGGTGGTTTTTTTAAGATGTGGTTGTATTTTTCACTGTCCTACTCTGCTGATTGGTAAATTAGTGGTGATGGTGTTCAAATTAACTTGATGTTCCTTTTTCCTTCCCCAGTCAAGTCTGTCTTTAGCCCATGACCATAATGGCTGAGTCAGCCCTCCTTGTCCTTCTGTTGATCCCTGAGCTTTTTGTTTTATTTTCTCATGCCCATCCCTGAGGGGGAAGGAGTGATTGAGTGGCTTCATAGTGCTCAGTTGCCCTCTGGGCTCAAACCAGGACAAACTGTGGCAGGAAAAATTCAAGATGGTAATGATCACAACACAAGTTTTACTAGCACAGCAGAGGATCGCTTGCCTGTGAAGATAACACTTTATGAAGAAGGTGATAGGAAATGCGTAGGGCGCCTTGGCTCACTATGGCTTTGCTTATTTGGGTAGTCCAACAAATTACATATTATTAGAGAAAATAATTTAAATGTTTACAAATTTGAAACAGACACATAGTGAGATAGATGTAATTACAAGAATAAACAAATATAGGGTGTTTTTTTATTCTATTTTTTTAGGAATCCTTTTTTCAGGATATTGACCTGCTACAGAAGCATGGAATTGTAAGTATCAGCAATTACTTTACCACACAGAATTGTCCATATAAAGTTGTTGTAAGGTTATTTCCAAAAGGCTACACACGTTGGTACAAATAACTGAAATTCCTCCTTGCAATAAATCAGGCATATGAAGACATTTTGCCTTTGGTGATAAGTTTTCAGAAAATCTCATTCCCATCAGATTCCTAAATAAAGTGGCAAGATATTCAAAGTATTTAGCACCCAACACTCTTGAAAAACTAACTACTTGCTAATTTATTTGAAAACTGTGTGATAGATTACTTCCTGTTCCTGCCAATCTTTGTAATTACTCCTGCGTTTCTGGAGCCTGTGAAATTACACTGTGACAATTGTCGTTATACTATTTTCAGCATGCTGGTGAAGGGGGTAGAGTGAGAGTGAGGAAAATATTAGTAGCTAGAGAAATAAGTGGTTAGTTTTCTTCAGCAAATATGGATGCCTCTAATGGTTATCATCATCATTATTATCACATAAACATCACCTATTTATTTGAGTTACTATTAGTATATGTTTATCCAGGAGACTGGCTCATGGATCATAACCCTATTATATTCAGTGTTATAGAAGCAGAATAAAAAGTTGGGTTTGCCCAAAGTAATATAAGATTTAACTCTAAGATAAATGACTACAGATACAGATGGGGAGGACACAGACACAATAAGGCATTAGTCAGCACTATAGTTACTGGGCTCAGCCTGTCAGCAGTGTAATTGTTGTCAGCTTTTTATATTGGCAGTTCATTGGCAGTTTTAAAGAGAGTTCTGAAGAAGGCTCATGAGGTTGGGAGCTCTAACCACGGGGCAACATAGGAAAAATACACAAATTCTTGTGTTAAAAATTAAACAAGTTGTCCAAAGAGGCTGACCTCATGAGCTGGAAGGGTGCTGTATTAGCCTGTCAATATTAAACAAGACATGGCATGCAGAGAATGGTACTAACGTAGGGAAGATCTTGGAAATAAAGAGTAATGTCTTAGGCTGTTCTTCGAGCTTAGTAATGGTTTCCTCCTCCTTTTCTTTTTCCTCCCCCCCAAGTGGTTATTCCCACACACTAGGGAAAGATTTTGTTCTCAGCTGTGCCAGTTAAAATCTTTGTGTGAACATATGATGACGCATATTCATTAAATAAATTTGCTTAAAGAAATTTTTTTATGGGTTCAGAATTTTTTCCCTAGAACTAGAGAGAGAAGTATTTTCTAGATATGACAGTGTGGCCACAAAGAGAGTCAGATTAGCACAACCAGGGCTGTGGTTTGACATTCCAAAGTGTTTGGTAGGAATTAAGGTGCTGTGCCCTTGCAGCCTTTGCTGAGAGTTCCTCCCCCTAGAACATGCTATCCCTTCCGGCACATCTGCTTTTGTAGACACAATGTGAACCTGATTTGTGAATGAATTTATCCAAAAATTGTCACAACAAAAAATGTGGTTTAGTTTTTTTATTTGTAAATTCTCAGTCTGATCCCTTTTCCATCTCAGGGGCACACAACTGGGACAGGGCTGCAACACGGGATATAGGCTCAGGACAAGCAGCTGGTGTAAGGGGCAGGCGTGTCAGTATGTTAAGCCAGGAGTACTGCTGAACACTTCGTAGTATTGAATGCTAGTCTAAGGAGGCCTGTACCCTAGGACCTTGGTTGGTACAGAAGATGTTGGTGAAAGGTGTATCTGTGGGAGAAAACATGAATTTCTATAACCAGGTCTACCACACAGAGACTTGTAATGCTGCAGAACACCCTTAAGTTTGATGTCATCAGAAAGATAGAGCCACTGAAGAAACACAGAAGCAGGGTAATGCATTTAAACTTTTGGTCTAGAAAAATCATCTTTGCAGCAGTGGTCTATTATCTTAGTAGAAGACCACAATAAAACAGCTCAATCCTTTTTATATTGCTGTTACATGCTTTTGGGTGGAGGAGTAATTTTTATTTGTGACTTATTTATTTTTAGCTCACTATTCTTATTAATGTAATAATCAAAAAACATATCACAGCATGAGAAATAAGCTTCCAAATGAACATGACTAATTTCGTCTGGAAATGGTAAATTGAAGTATTATCCCACGTTTCACATAGTTTGTTTTCTTGTGAGTAATCTCTTGCTTGCCTTTAAGTTTTAGTGATGTCAGAATCATAAAATGAGGTGAGAGAGGCAAAATGTGTCAGTAGGGTGCTGACTGAAGTCATGTTCTACCCAATTTATGAAAAAAACTAGTGGTTCATTCTAGCCCAAGGTGTCGGTCAGATCTGGAGGGTGTGTGTGTTTTAAACTGGAACTGTGAACACGAAGAAACAGCACAACAGTTAGAGGCAGCATCCAACAATCCTTGAGAGTCAGCTCCCAATTATCCACTATCAGATTATCTGGTTTACAGATGATCTGTGCTAAGGGACCAAGGACGACTGAGCGTTACAGGGTTTAACTAGGCTGGGCTCCACACTATTGGAAATAATCTGTATTGTTTCTTCACTACCAACTTAGATCTAGAAAGACTGACACTGAACAAGTAAAACTGACTGAACCCAAACCACCTTTCTCTCAAAAGCACGAGTATCTCATCTCTGCACCATGACCCCTCACACCAATGTTACCTAAAATTTTCTATTGCTGCTGTCACGAACTAGATAATGGAGAGTTTACTGTGGAACTGTTTCTTTCTTGGTGAAAATATACATATGAATGTATATTAAAATATGTTTCAATGGTTTACTTTGCCTTCTAGTTGTTAACTGTCATGAGTACTCACAGAAGGGAACTTTCTTTGCAGAATGTAGCAGATATTAAAAAACTGAAGTCAGTTGGGATCTGCACGATCAAAGGAATCCAGATGACCACAAGACGGGCTCTGTGCAACGTAAAAGGGCTGTCAGAGGCCAAAGTGGACAAGATTAAAGAAGCTGCAAACAAACTTATTGTAAGCCAGTCACTTTCCTGATAGTTTAAACTTGTTCTGGCCTCTGCAAAATGCTGTGCAACATTTCTCTTAACAGACTTTTTCACCACATCATCAAGATAATTTTGAAAATTATTCTGCTCATTACTCTAAAGGGATAATACTTTATATTCTGCGACAGCCAGACAAATGTTGTGGTGCTTTTCATACCCAACCTGTTGAAATGCTGGGGTTTCAGCCCCAAATTAAGGTTGACATATGGGTGATTCCCACAGCCCTTCACAAAGGGGTGGTGAGTTTACTTTAAGCTTCCCTCTAGGGTGTGGCCAGCCTTGCAGGGAGAGCCATTAGGTAAACGAGCCCCAGGTGTCCCACTTAGGGGTAAAAGCTGGGACCATGTGCAGAAAAGGGTAGTGTCTGTTTGGGTGGTGGATGTACTTTGCAGAGTTTCCTGCTGGGGAAGGACCTCCTGCCTCTCTGGAACTGGGCTCCAGTCAGGTCTGGCTTTTGTAAATGCGGGCTTTGTAGAGATTCAGTACATGGCTTCCTTGGTCTTATGTATTTGGCTTGTTGACTTGGTTGTCTCCTGTCCCTTCTATGGGAAACTGCATTTCACTGTTTAATCCACCTATTGTTGGTTGTGCATTGTTGTTGTTGGGGTCAGTGGGATTGATGTTGATTATGTATAATCTGACTGACTTGTTTGTACCCCCAGCGCTCACCCATGTACTGACCCTTTTGTATCAGATACAATTTGGTTATTGGTTCATCTTTATACTGGCTGTGTCCTTTATGCTAGGCCTAATAATTGGCAAAACACATGTGTAAATGAGGCTAGCATGGAGAGAAGATGTTTATGTGGGATATTGCACTTTACCTTCAGGTTAAAGCTAAAATAAACTTCTCATGTTGTCTTTGGTCTTCCTTAGGAACCAGGCTTCCTGACTGCCTTTGAGTACAGTGAAAAACGGAAGATGGTATTTCATATTACTACTGGCAGCCAGGAATTTGAGTAAGCTTATCTCTACTTAAATCATTCCTCAGTCCAAATTGTTGCCTTTAATGAGACACAAAAATATAAAGGAATAAATATACAGCTAGGACATGTAGGTTACCTTGCATCTGCAGCTAGTGCTGGCTCAAAGATGCCCACATCAGTAAGTAACAAAACCAAGCCTTTTTCTGAGGGGAAACTAGACTTCATACAGTCATTGTAAGTAAACAGAGTTTGCATCCAGAAATCCTAAGTGTATCATCATTTTTTTCACTGGGTCAAAACAACCTGCAGGTTGCAGGTCAAAATTATGTCTTCAAGACCTCCCTTGACATATTTTTATGTAATGTTATCTTTTCAAAGGTATTTTCTTTTTTTTTGTTTTTTTCCAGTAACAATTTCTATAGATCTTTCTCTTGCATACAGAAAGGGTGGTTAAGACAGAATTAATTCTTTATGAATCAGCAATCATTTAGGGCCCTGCACTTAATGTGTTTGTAAATTCGCAGTATACATATGAGGGAGGTACTTTAGGACAGAAATAACTTTTTTTTTTTTTTTTTTTTTTTTTTTTACTTTTGTCTTGTGATTCTGTGGGTTTAACTATACCATAATCCTCTCCCTTTCTCCAGTAAACTTCTGGGTGGTGGGATTGAAAGCATGGCAATCACTGAGGCCTTTGGAGGTGAGAAAACCGTATTAAATGAATATTACTGAACAAAGAGTTACAACTCAGTTTAGAGTTTAAATCACACTGGATTACTTCTGTCAAATTTATCACCTTGTAGTCATGAGTACCTGCATGAGTGTAAGAAGAAAGAAAACACTTCTCAGTGTTTTCCCCTTTTCCCTCTTCATTCGCTTGCAGATTAAGTTTGAGCTGAGTAATCATTAGATTTGGGACATGCTGATTCAGTACAACATAGCATTATTAATACTATTACTAATGTGTCATATAGGAAGGATTTCCCAGATGCAATCTGTGTTCCTTTCCAGTAACAAAAAAGCCACAAAATATATTTATGCACACTTAAGATACGTTGCATTTCATATAAGATTTTGGAATGACAATTAAGCTACTGTTATTGTAAATTTGATCAGTTAGTGGTTAACAGTTCAACAATAGGGTTCATAAAACACAGTATCTTCCCTTTAGAAAAGATAAACTGGAGACTAACCTAATTTGATATAATGAGATTAATAAACTCATAAGCTTCTCCTTGATCATTTTACTGAAAATGAAACTGGGCCACGTCAGTGGAATCAACCATTTCTTCCCACCACCCCCCTGTCCCCAGTTAACACTTTTCCACAGGTGCCATGTGGTTTTAACTTCCACACAGAAAAGAATAAATTACTTTAGAAGTCAAGCATGATCAAATTAAACCATTTCAGATTTTGCTTTTCAGGTAACACATTTATACTGCACAGAATATGATTTACAAATTGGGGTTAAATGATTTTAAAAGGTAGAGATAGATGAGAATTTTGTAAGTAAGAGTGTTTCTAACTGCAGTAACTTCTGAATCTGGCTAACTCAGAAAAAGATACCCTGACCCTTTTTTTTTCTTATTATTTAACAGAGTTCCGGACAGGCAAAACTCAGCTATCTCACACCCTTTGTGGTAGGTGTAATACCTGAAAGAAAGAGCTTTTTCTTCTGAGTGAATCCATTCTTTAAAACTATATCAGAATTAAACACACAGAGATAAGTTAGAATGCTTTATCTCTAGAAATACAGTGAAACAGACTTTGGTGACTTTTACCCCCATTAATTGTGTTTGAGAACTCATGTAAATGATTACTTTTCAATGTTGCTCACATCAATGTAAGTTTTGCCATAAGGAGAGAGAAGATGACTGTCTTAGAGATCGCAGTGAAACACACCATCTAGAACAGCAGAGCACAAATATGGCCTACAGGTGGATGGGGCATTGCTCAGAAAAGGGCACAGGCAAGATTCTTTCTCAGCAACTCTTTTTACTTTCCTGGTTTCAAGAGGTTTTGCTGAATATGACATTCTGAAAGGGCACTGAAAGAATACTACTGGCTGACAGTAACTGGATAAACAAAGATTTTGGCAATCACCCTATTCAGGCAGTGCCAAATACAGCAGGACTCTGATTTCTCAGCGACATCTCTCAATGTGTAAATAGTAACTAATATAACTGTTAATGCTGCTGAAATATAGTTACCAGACACTGGGTAGGCAAACATTCCCTTAAATGAACCCTATATTATAAAGGAAATCATAGCACCTTCTAGAAAAATAAGGCCTCTTCTATTTAGTACAGTCTAATGGTCAGCAGAGTCATACCTTTTTGCATGAATGACTACAACTGAATTGAGTTTAGCTTATTCACTCCTAAGAGACTAAACCCACAATTGGTAACTATTCACATATCAGGAAAAATTCATATCTAAAGAATTTTTGATCATATGAGTTACAGCTGGAAAAAAAAACCCCTACTAAATCAATATCACTAATTTGGGCAGAGGATTAAGAGGATGTTTTGTGCGTAACAATTTAATAATATCCTTACCTATTTGCAATATAAAATATAGAGATTTAGTGATGGTACTGAGTAAAACACAATTTTGACACCATTAATCTCATCTGATCTGCAGTTGAGAAAAGTAGCTTTAATTTCTTCTCAAGAAGGCAGTAAGACTTGAGATACCAGTGATTTCCACATTGATTAAAAGTTGTAGTTCTTTGTGATATGGATAAGCAGTCATATTTTATTAAAAACTAATAATAGTGGGAGTAAGAAAATATTTTTCCCACTTTTTCATTTTGATCTTCTATGATTTACTGTAGTGACAGCTCAGCTTCCAGGACCAAATGGCTACACGGGTGGAAAGATTATCTTCATTGATACTGAAAACACTTTGTATCTTTTGGACTATTAAAAGCTACAGGTACCATGATCTGGAAAGACAGTTCATTTTGTTATAGGCAAGTAGGAGGCTCCAGATATAATTTCATACATGTAAAACATTGTAACTGACACAGAAAGCCTGGAGCACAGTGTGTAGTGGCTCACAAAGCAGTGACATTTTTCTCTGTTATTTGATGTAATCCAACCTGGAAAACTTAAGAGTTAGGATACTGATTTTAACTGTTTTTTTGAGATCTAATATGCCTCCTACAGGTGATAGAAGCTTTTCTGTTTACTTCAAGAGAAATTAATCTAAGAACTAACCACTATTTTTAACACTTCATATCTGTGATAGACTGTGTATAAATAGGTTTTGCTCATGGCTAAATTCCTAGAGCATAGATATTCCTATGCCGTGTGTGTCCCCGTCCCCCACCCCCCAAACCCTAAACACAAAACAATTCTCATCGTGAACTCTAAGCTATCTTAAGTACATGGGACAGTGTGAAGAGAAAAAGTCAGTCTTCTCTAGGATCAAAATAAATATTCTTTATTGTTTTTCCATAGTTCTATTTTGGAACAGAGTTTTATTGTTTTCAGAGCGTGGTTTGTATAAAGAGAAATCCTTAACTCTAATGTCAGCCGACCAGACCGCCTTCGTGACATTGCTGATCGCTTCAATGTTGATCACGATGCAGTACTCGACAATGTGCTGTATGCACGTGCATATACTAGTAAGACCATTATTGCAGCTGACATGGTATCTATGTTTTTTATTTAAGGCTCCTGTTTTAACAGTTCTCAGTTTATTAACTGGAATTTCTCACTGAAGATCATAAATAATGTTTTGCTGCAAACAAAATACGTCATAAGCTTGCTTCTGTTTTCTATTGCTGGTGTTGTACACTGAACAGACTTGCTCAATAAGTATCCCAACTCAGCAGCACAGTGTTTTGCACTTTGCCACAACATTAAATGAACTCTGCCATGTATATAATGAGTGTCAGCATAGCATCTTAGTAAGAGAAGCACCAATTAATGTAACCATGACTGCCTGAATGCAAGCTAATTCTATAAATGTTGAGATTCTTTATGGTCTTGAGAATGGAACTTTATAGGGACAGCTCCAACACACTCTCACAAGACACTGCATTAAAACTTCAAGAAAGTTTTGAATGGGACTTTGAAAGTACAATATGAACATGAACAACATCATTAATACAATTTATGTGTGTCATTTAATTCAACATTAAATTCAAATGTTTATATTGCTTTAAGTTGTCTTCATGCATAGTTTTGTTGTGAAGCTTTTCACAAAGAAGTTGTTTTACCTGGTCAAGTGGAAACTGGAACCTGCAGAAAGACAGGCACTGGTGGGTATTGTGCAGGTAGCTTGTTATTGGGCACTGGATTCAAAACTGCCGGCAGTGAAAATTAAATGCCTGCGCTGTTTATAAGTGAAATCTTAAAATGCAGGCTTTTGTTCCTTCAGAGGTCTTTCTGGTCCTAATTTCACTTGACAACTGTACTTCCCACCAGGTGAACACCAGATGGAATTACTTGACTATGTAGCAGCCAAGTTCCATGAGGAAGCGGGTATCTTCAAGCTATTGGTACAAGACTGATTTTTTTTCTGTATGCTTACTGCTTTCAAAATATATTTTCCTATTTTCTTTCACTATATTTACTTATCTAGCATAATTACAATGCAGATCATTGACTCCATAATGGCACTTTTCCGTGTGGATTTCAGTGGTCGTGGAGAGTTGGCTGAACGACAACAAAAACTCGCTCAGATGCTGTCAAGGCTCCAAAAAATATCAGAAGGTAAGGGAAACATTGCAAAATTTGGAAAGCATGGACTGGACTTACTGAAACAGTAGCTGTTGGTGGCACAACCACCTAGTAGTCTGAGAGTATTATCAATCAAGCCCAGGAATCTTTCCTCATTTTACACCTCTGTCAGTTACCAAAAAGATCAAATTGATAATACACTTTTTCAAGATGACAGATTAAGGAATCTTTAGAACTATTCAACGTTTAGGCTCTTCCTAGAAATACTGTTAAGAGACATCCTAAATGAGAGAACAGGTTGTAGAACTGAACAAATATCCAGTAAGAGAAATTGTCTTCCCCAAATTTCAACACAGTAAACATGAAGAATAGAAAAAAAGGATGAAAGCACAGGGAGATAGAAATGCCATGCCCATTGTCGTGTTCCCAGTATTTTGCAATGCTCTGAGGGATGCTAACAGGCTACATAGGGTTCCTCCTCTTTGGAAGAAAATATTGATAAGGAATGAGTAATTTTATTTTTTTCATGCAGCAAATAGAGGAAAAATAAAAAGGCAAACCAATAAAGTGAGGGAGAGAGGGCTGAGGGCAGGGAGCCAACAGAGAACATGGGAACTGAGAAAGACTTATTCAGTGGAATTCTGAAAAGTGCTCATTTTTGGCCTAAGTATTACAGCTGAAGTCACACAGGAGCAAGTTTAGGCTGTCTCCTGATTAACTCCAGCCATCAGACATAAAGAATATTTACTTCTCTTTCATTTGGAATTTGAAGTGCTTCAGCAGCAGCCTTGATTTTTACCAAGGCTTGGAGAATATTTCAGAATTCTAACTGGATACATTCCACCTCTTTGCATTGTTTTCTATTGCAGAATATAATGTGGCTGTGTTTGTGACGAACCAGATGACTGCTGATCCAGGAGCAACTATGACGTAAGATAATTTTTCTCTCTCTTTTTAAAAAAAAATTCTTCTCTTTTGTATTACATATGTAACAGACATGACAACTGAGATTGTATAGAGCAAGAGGCATCAAAATAAAGGTTCAGATCGGTCAGCGGTCCCTCTAGTATGATGAATCATTCATGGCTGACACCTATAGGTTTCTCTGTTTCATAATGAGTTTTTCTCATGTTTATCTGCTGCCTGGTATGATGGCTTCTTTCACTGTGACCTGAACGATGAGAACAAGCCATAAAAAGTATTGAAAAAGCACTCTATTTTCTTTTGGAGCAGTTCATAGTTTAAGGGGTGTATTTCCTGAGCCTCTTCAATTTAATGAGAGGAAAACTAATGCCAACATTGAACATCTGAATATACTGAACATCTCATATATTGAGGCATGTTAAAGTCCTTTTTTGATATATTTACCTATTTATTATTCATTACTGAGTTCAATATACCGCGTCTGACAGTTAATCACAGTATTAACCTATGAAATTCGCACAGTGAATCATCACAATTTTCTTGTTAATTTAGCTTTCAGGCGGACCCAAAAAAGCCCATTGGGGGCCACATCCTTGCTCATGCTTCGACTACCAGGATTAGTTTGAGGAAAGGGAGAGGGGAGCTGCGTATTGCAAAGATATACGACAGGTAAATCACCCTTTCTTCACAGGAAGGAAGCTATGTTACCAGCAACTCTTAAGGTGACAAAGTTAAGGTGACAAACTTAACAGCTTGACAGCTGATTCATGGTTTCAAACTAACCTGGTTTCTGGATGGTCAACTGAGAGAAAATCTGAAAGGACACACTAACAGACTTAAAGTTGTCTTGCATATCGCATATATTAAATTATGTAATATTTCATCATAAATCCTACTATTAGATGCTCATCTCTTAAAGACCATCAAATAGTTTGGTAAGACTGGTAGTCCCTTGGCAAGGAAAATTCCAGAGCTGTTAAATTACTAAGTTTTGCTGATACAATTAGTATCACTTTACCTTGTAAGCTGTGACAGAATGACAAGTCATTAAAAATTGTACTAATGAAACTGCATGGAGAGACCAGCATTTCTGGTCAGGAACTGAGAAACTGAAATGAGAGTTTGCACAGACAAAATCTTTCCTTCTCCTGCACCTTCTCCATTCTCCTTCCTTGTGTTTGTTATCTTCCAAGAGGTGGATTTTACATTTTCTGATCTTGACAATCAATATTGATCACATTCTAGTTTGCACATAGGTATAAAGACATTGAAGTATTACAGGTTGCTTATGCTTGCAACATTTTGGAGATTGTTTCATTACTTCATTTAACATAGGGAAACCCACAAGTTTCTTGTTTCTTTTTTACTCCCAGCCCTGAGATGCCTGAAAATGAAGCCACATTTGCAATAACTGCTGGAGGGATTGGGGATGCCAAAGAATAGGCAGAAAACCAATGTAAATTTATAGCTGAAACCCACCTGAGCAGTTGGGATAAAGATTTGTGCAAGGTTACCAACTGCCTGACTGCATTTTTATCTTTTGGGAACCATTTAAGGTATTCTGGGAGAACATTGGGATGGACTCTGTACAGTTCAGCTTTATTGATCTGAATAGAATTTGGTTCATTTAGAGTCTTCATTTTTCACTTAAACTTTCAGCAGACAAAGATTTAAGAAATAAACTTGTTAATTGTTCAAAAAATCCTCTTCCTATATTTTTCAAAAATCAAATGTGTCTTCACATGACATTACTATACTCTTTTTTAGTTTCTTTCAAAGACAGTGTCTATGTGGTAGAATAGTGTGAAATGGAACAGAATTGGAATAAAGTCAGTTATAAAACTGACATAAATAGATGGAAAAGGCAGTGGCATGAGCAACAGCCCAAGACCTTGATGGAGTCTTATGACCAGTAGAACAATAAATTACCTTAAAAATATGTTTTTAGGTGTTTTTGTCCACTAGATAATTTTTGTATTTTTGTTTAGCCTTTTCTGCTTTTTGGAGAGAATGTTTTAAAACTGTTCTTATTAAAGTTAAAAATAAAGATTATGAATTGGAAGAGTACTCTGCTTATATCTGGGTGCTTTGAATCAAACCTTACTCTCAATTATCTCAGTGACCTTTCAAGAGAGAAATAAACCAGGTGCAACCCAACATTTTAAACCCTTTTGTCTAGTTCTATAAAGAAACAAACTTTATATAATTGCCTTGTCAGTCTAATTATTATTAAATAATATTAAATATTATTATTAAAAAGCACAGAAAAACAAAACCAGTAGCTAGATAGGGAAGGGGGGCTGGCATTGTTACATACATGGAGGGAAAGGCAGTTATGACTTGGCTTGCTGGGGCAGCATGCTGCCTGGCCTGCCAGCACAGGCATAGCTCTGAACTAGCCAGAGATGTGTGTCATGGGCGGCAAAAGAAGCAGCTGGGAGTAAAGACAGAAATGGGGGATCAGGGGACAAAATATGAATTCTGTTTACATTACCTGCAATGCTCACAGAATTGCTTGTTTTTAAAATAAACTCAATTTTTATATTAGATGCTTTAGGGGAATGCTTAACTTTGTCCTCTTGTATGAGTGCTAATTAGACTGGGTCTAAACTTGGCAACGGGTTAGAGAGATTGTCCTCACTGATACAAGAATTTTTTCATTTAGATTAACTAATGCATGTAAGATAACATGAAGTAAAAAGGCAGTGATGACCAGAAATTCATCCAAGAAAAGCCTGACACTGTAACCAGTTTACCTTGTGACAGAGCTAGAGTTTACCTTCCTTGAGTGGCTTCTTAACACCATCTTTGACATTTTTCCTGAGGCAAAGCACTATTTTTCATAGTAGAGAGAAGTCCAGAGAGACAAAGGCAGGGAGGTTGACTGATCTGAGGGAGCCAGAAATGGACCAGCTGTTGAGATTTAACATAACAAATAACCTTTGCATGTGCCAGTCTTTCCCACACCAGGCTTTCGTTTGTAATGGCCAAGCACCAAGTGTCAGCGAGAGCTTACAGTGTCACTTGACTCCCACCCCCTTAGAAAGGCCCAAGTTTCTTCCAACGTCTTATTTTAAGCTCCAAGACTGCTTTTTGCTTTCTCACATATGCCATACATATAGCAAGTAAATCTAAAATGGTAAACAATCTGTGTCTTGTTCCAGGCCAAGTTATTTGTTTCAGGGGTATAAAATTAAAGGGGATTCACTTTATCTTGTGCCAATATAACTGATTTTTGATACTCTGACAATGCAGAAAGCACTGAGCACGATGGCAGTTTGGGCCAAAATTTGGGTGGTGCCTGCAGACCACGCAGCTGACATGGCTTCCTGTGTCAGGACAAAAGAACTTACAGCCAACGCCACATAATCGCCTCAAGGCTTACTTTATCTTTTAGGTAGGAGTCTCAGGTTGATCCAGGGAGTCGAACGCTAGCAGCCATAAACAGGGCATCTCTGCTGTGCCTGGTGTCCTTCGGGTACTTCTGATCATGTCTTCTCTCACTTGCAGTTAACAACATATTGGGTGAATTTGTTTACTTTCTGGAGAGGTTGCCATGAACCTCCTGTAGCTGCAGAGGGGGGTGTGTGACCGGGTGGTTGCCGGCAGGACCCACGTCGAGGCCCGTTATGCCATTCTGTCTCGGCCTCCTGGCACTCAGGCAAAAGAAAGCATCATGGCTGCTGTCACTCCCGCTCCCGCCTCAGCGCCGCGCCAAGATCCCCCCCAGTCATCTGTCAGGGAAAAAAGCGGAGGAAAAACCCCGACCAGCCGGACCCGTGCGGCCTTGCCGGCGCCACCGCAGAGGCCCGAGAGGCCGCTCCCCGCCCGCCGTATCACGCCGGGCCGCCGCCCCGCGTCCCCGTTATTGTCTCCCCATCACCGCTGCCACCCTCCACGGGGCCAGCCGGCCCGTAGGCGAAAGGCTGTATTCTCCAAACCTGACTACGCTGCAAAATTAACGTAATCCTCCGACCCTCCGCCAACCCTGCCTGCACAACCCGCGGAAGAATTTTACGCAAAGCACACGGGCTCTTCCTGCCCTACGCCAGCCTGAGTTACGCAATTTGCGTACGCCATGTACTTACGTAACGTACGCCTCGGCCTAGGTTTTCCTTACCGCCCAGAAGGGGTTACGGGGTTGACTCCTTGCGTAGCAGACTTTGAGGAATAGGGAGAGCGTTACTCTCCTCCCTCCCTTCCTCACGCGGGGGCCCGACTCAAGTAAAGAACACTACGCACCTTTCATATCCTGTCTTCCATGCAGTGCAGTGTTTCGTCAAGCGAACTGAGGGCGTAGTTGGTTTCCGGGAATAGGCGTAGGTATTTTCGAGGGCCGCAGTTTGCGCAGCATTGGGTCGCCCGTAACGTAACTGAAGCGGGTTGGGGCAGCGGCAGCCATTTTGTGCCGGGAGCCCGGAGGAAGAAGACGCTGGTGTCTCCACACTTCACGGGCCCTGGAGCCGACCGAGAGCCCCGCCGTTCCCTCCGCCGACGTCCAGCGGGTCTCTGACCCACTGACCACCTCTTCTCCTTTTGTATCCCACCAAAGAAGCGAGGTGGCGCAAAGCGATTCCTCCGAGACACAGCCGCCCCTGGCTGGACCGTCTCCTCGTACCCCCAGTCCCTCGCCGTCCCCACGGCCTGCGTTCCGCTGCCTTTCTCCCACCCCTCC